CCATTTACGCCCAGAAACTCAGTTGAAATTTTGCACTTCTCAATCTTTTCTTAGGTAGTAACAAACAAAAAGATTTACTATGTCAATTGCAGGCCTAGCAGCAACCAAAATATAATAATGAAGAAGTTACAAGTAGAATGGAGCATTGTGAAGTTTGCAGCCATTTTATTTGCAAGTGATTGAGGCTAGACCTGACGCTTTTTTGTCAAAAGCATGCGGTGTCAAACTCAACTGAAGCCGACTATAGATGATATCCTCATCGCTAGCACTAACCCAGAGGAACATAAGCAACACCTACACTCAGTGTTGGAGTGATTCAATAAGCATGGCATTGTCCAGAGTAACATAAGCAACAACTTTACTTAGTGGTTGAGTGTTTCAGTAACCATGGCATTGTCATCAATCAAAACAACTGTGACTTTTGGGTATTGCAAATCACTTTCCTCAGTCATTTAGTCGATCAGCAAGGTATCTGCCCACATATAGAGAAAGTCAAAGCACTCTGCGCCTTTCCTTTACCAACAGCTCAACATAAACTTCGTGAGTTTTTGGGGCTAGTTAACTTTATAATAGATTAAAACTTTATTGTGCATGTATTCTTCCCCCATTGAATTATTTTCTACGTCTAAAATACAAATAGAGAGACATTCAGGGGACAGTTGAAGCCAACATTATCAAGGAGGCTCTCACCCAAGTGACTTTAACTCATGCATAATTGGATACTACTTTGAGTCTCGCAACAGATGCATCTGATGTAGGCTCATGTAACCATGAGAGCACAGAGGGTCGATGATACTTGGCAACCACTGGCATATACCCTAGATCTTTTAAACCACCTGAGAAAGAATGTAGCACGTTTTTGATTTATTTAGCATCTAAACATTTTCGCTACTCTCTGGAAGGTCGATATTTTTACATATTGACCGATCATAAACCCCTAACACATCTCCACTCATTTCATTCTGGTCAACATTCGCCACGAGTTTGACATATGGATTATATTCAGCAGTTCACCTCAGTCATTCGTCACGTAAATGGGTCAGCTAACTCAGCTGCAGATGCCCTGTGTTGTGCTAAATATAGGTTATATACCGAGTAGGATGGATTCATACTATTTTAATCCCAAGGGCACACCCCGAGTGATTAAATTATGGACAAACACCTATGAGGTGTTTATGGAATTGGGAAACAGAGGGCAAAGCCCAAGGTTTACAAATTCCATAAACGCCTCATAGGAGGTGTTTTTCTGTTTTGAACATATTCATGGGGACATAGTTATTAGAAGTGGTTAATTAGGCTCAAGCAATGGTATTCTGTTGAATGGCTTCCATGTAGGGGTCTCCATAGCATTTCGACACCTCATTCGTATTATTACCATCAAAGAGAATTATTCATGAATGGTTTAAAATAGTATGAATCCCGACTAGGAGGTATATACTGTATTTAAGCTATATTCACGGTTTTTTTAAATATTATTGAATGTTTTGAACATCATTCATAGTATTATCACGTGACTTGCCACTGAGCACATGGCCCATAATAGATGACTTGGAAATTGAGCTTTCTCTATGAAAGAAATTCATAGATGTGAGGGAGAAAGATTTTTGTCTTGGCCTCAAAACCACACGGATTTACCTCTATTAGTCATTCTCGTTTCAGTCCTTCTGTAACTGAGGCAGATATTTTGGAGAAAATAAAAGGCCATATACCACCATCTACTCGCAAGGCCACATCATGGGTGGTGAAATTTAGGATTAATTGGCGCCACAGTAGAAAGGGGGATATCAAGCCTCCGGAACTAGATGTGGTAAGAAATAGTCAGTTACACTACTGGTTGCCACGCTTTGTCGTGTAAGCTAGGAATACTCAAGGCAAGCCGTACACTTCTGTGAGTCTTTATGGTTTTAGAGCTGGAATCAAACGATATATGAGGCCATAGAATTCACTCCAATGAAGAGTTGGATATCTAAAATGCACCAATTGTTCATTTTTTCGAGAGGCATTTGACACCTCTTAAAAGATCTCCGGAAAGAAGTCATTGCTACTATTAAAAAGCAAATACCCATCATTTCCACTAACCTTGAAGAACGTATGTGGAAGGATGGGCTACTTGGTAATAGTAATCCACATTTGCTGCTTGACATGATGGTCTACTGTTTGGCTCTTAATTTAGCCCTTAGAAGTGGCAGGGAGCATAGATTGTTGTGTCTAGATATGATTCAGTTAAATGAGATAAAAGATGCATGACCACAAATTTTGTACAGTGAAAGAGGGTCTAAAAACAATGCTTGGGGGTTCCAGGAACGTAAGGTGACAAATAAGACCATAGATTTTTGGAAACAAGGAAGACAGAAAGCTTTGTGTGGTTGAGCTGTACAAAAAGTACATGTCATGCAGGCCAGTGGATGCTCCCTCATATGCATTGTACTTACAACCTATGGCCAAACCTCTTCCTAACTAATGGTATATGTCGAGACCAGTGGGACATGACACTCTTAATGAGACAGTGAACCGATTCTGTGACCAAGCAGGTAAAAAAGGCCACTATTCTCTAACGCAAAAGAGTGCAACATGCTTGTTCCAACATGGAGTTGATGAACAGACAAAGTCTGTCACTGGTCATAGATCAACTGATGCTGTGCGTGTTGATAAGAAAGTTTCTCATCAAAAAAAAGAGGAACTGAAAGGTATCATTTAAGCTAAGAAAAGGAAGATTACACATGAAGGACAATTATGCAAAAGACAAAGAACCGGGAAGCACAGATACAATGAGTTCCACAACTTTACCTTTACTAACTGTACTGAAAACTCCAGTAATTGCTAGTATTAAAATCTCCTTCACAGTACTCTTTAATACTTTGTAAAGTACCTCTTGCTTTCTGTCATAGTTGTTAAAATCTCCTTCACAACACTCTCTAACACTTTGTAAAGTACCTCTTGCTTTTTGTCATTCCACTATTGTTTGTGATGTAGCTACTGGGATATTACGCTCATTCGTACCAAGGTCGCTGACATATATGGTAATTTTAGCACTACATTCCTTATCACACCTAGGTATTTATGTATGACAACGATTACTTAACAGTTGTTTTGCCTTGCCTGGTGTTAACTCTGACATTCATAAGTGGACTCGTCAATGTCTCCAGTATGAACAAGCCAAGGTCCAAAGTCACTGTCTCTCCTCTTTCTGACTTTCCTACTCTACATCAATTTTCTCATATAGCGATCTAGTTAGACCACTACCCGTCTTTTGAGGCTCAACTTATCTACTATTAACTATGGTGGATAGGTTCATTGAATGGCCAGAAGTTGTTCCGCTACCAAATGCAAATGCTGAGATAGTAGCATTATGGTCATTTCTACACGGGTTTCCCGGTTTGGACTCTGATCATTCATTACTAGGGATAAAGGAAGACAGTTGGAGTTATCTATATGGTCTCAACTGATGAGAATCCTTGGTACACATCGTATTGAGACTACTGCATACCATCACATTGCAAACAGACTAGTGAAGAGACAGCACTGTCAAAAAAAGCCTGCCATTAAGTGTGTACCTTCTCCTACAGACTGGGTATCTGGACTGCTCTGGATTCTCTTAGGAATTTGCACTGCCATGATAGAGAATATTGGCAGTACTAGTGCCTAATGGTGTAATATATAACAAGAGTGACTGATCAGACTCAGTTCTAATCATATCAGGTCAGTTACATTTCTACTACTTTTCACTATTCTTTTCATTGCTTCAAGTACAGTTTATACGAGGAGTGACTGATCAAACTGAGTTTAAGGCTGTGTTTACACAGCAACGCAAAATGCATTGTTTTATACACAGTACACTTTCAGCACTGTTTTGTTTCGATAAAGATTAATCAAGATTCTATCACGTTTTCATTTTTTCTATTTTTGTAAGCGCAGCCTTAATTTTTGGAGGTGTTTTTTATGAAGTATTTTCTGTTCTATTTACATCTCAGTCTTTCTTCTAGTTGCAGATTCTGTGATAATAGAGCTTTGACATTTATGCATTCATGTACATGTACATGTACACGTAACTACAATATTCTGTTATTATTATTATTGCTATGTACTCGTTGTTGTTATTATTGTTGTTATTATAATTATTATCATTGTTATTCTTATTGTTATTGTTACTTGTGTTATTCTTATTGTGGCCATTATTATTTCTATTTATAATTATGCAGACTGTCAATATGACATATGATGTATTATGATTTTTAGTTTAAAACTGCATGCTTTGACTGTATTTGTTGTTCATTTGTATGTTCATTCATTTCTTCTTCCTTCTACTGTATTATTTTCATTCTCATTTTAAGTCCTCTTTGAACCTAGCAAGTTTGCCATTCTCACATCGCTCATTTGTGTTCTACTTGGTTGCTATACAATTCCATTCCCGGTTCCCAACATTACACTTGCGATGAGGTAAACGGTTATGGCAACTCATGGAAAGATGTCTGCATTCGATCTAGCAAAAGAAACCTGGACTATATACATGGAACGCTTACAGTTCTACTTTCTAGCAAATGGCATCACAGAAGAGGACAAGATGAAAGCAGTGTTGCTTACTGTGTGTGGGGCACCTTCTTATCAACTCGTAAGGGGACTACTTCAACAACAAACCCCACTCAATGCCTCATTTGATGAAGTAAACACCAAACTGGGGGAGCATTACAGTCCCAAACACTCTAGCATTGTGCAGAGATATACTTTTCACACAAGAGTCAGACATCAGCAGGAGTCAGTAGCTGACAATGTGGTAGCACTTCGTGACATTGGGGAACATTGTGAGTTTGGATACTCCTTAAATGACATGATTTGTGTAACTTGTCTGTGGCATTAACAATTCTAGAATACAAATCCTCTTGCTACAGGAGCAAGACAGGCTGACTTATGAAGTAGCAATCAAGACAGCACAGACCATGGAACTGGCATCACAAAATGCACAAGATATGTCCAAGCAGCTCTCATAAGCTCCTGTGAACCAAATGAAACATCAAAGAGAGAAACACAAGACGCCGAAGGAAATCGAATGCTACAAATGCGGTGGTAGGCACTATGCTACCCATTGTCATTTTAAAGATGTCAACTGTCGCAGCTGTGGTAAGAAAGGTCATCTAGCAAAGGTCTGTTGTAGCTCTAAGAAAGATCACAACAACCAGTCACGCCAGAAACCATCCAGATCTGTTAATAAGACCCCCTTAAAATACAATGCCCATTCATTGGATCACAAACCAAACCTTCATCATTCAGCTACGGTTCCAGAGGACTCCCAAGGTTATTCTTTGTTCACTCTACCTGGTAATGTCCAACCTATTGTACTCATAACGGAAGTGAATGGTTCAGACCTCTAAATGGAAATGGACACAGGAGCCTCCCTATCTCTCATTAGTGAACAGACATACACAAACATGTCTCATGCATTACCCCTTAACACAATTTAATGTTGTTTTGTCCACTTTTACAATGAAAAAGATCCGTCCAATTGGTACAGTAGATGTCGCTGTACGATACAATTCTCAACAAGTTACAGTTCCCATGCTAGTCATCCCTGGCCTAGGACCCAGTCTGGTAGGACAAAACAGGCTGGAAAAGATCAAGCTGGACTGGTCTCACTTAAAAGTTGTTAACGTTTTTTCTTCCATAGAGGATGTAATGCAGAAACATAAAGAAGTTTTTTGTCCAAAGCTTGGGAAATTGAAGGTTCTTGGGGCAAAGCTCTATGTTGATTCTCAAGCTCAACCTCATTTCTATCGTTCACGAACAGTTCCGCATTGTATTAGGGATAAAGTGGCTCAGGAGTTGCGACGGCTGGAAGAGCTGGAGGTCATCACCCCAGTCAAGCATTCCAAGTTGGCAGCATTGGTGGTACCGATAGTCAAAGAAGACGGATCCATTTGTCTCGGCGGTGACTATAGAGTAACAATCAATCAAGCCGTGCTTCCAATCCTTATCCTCTCCAGAGAGTCGATGGTCTATTCACTGCACTTTCTGGAGGCAAGTCATTTTCCAAATTGGACTTGAAACATGCCTATTTACAAGTTCCTCTAGACGAAGAGTCAGAAAAGTACACTACCATTAATACCCAGTGAGGACTTTTTGAATATAATCGCCTGCTTTTTGGCATCTCTACAGCTCCTTCCATTTTTCAGAGGATAATGGAAAACCTCCTCAACAATACTCCTTAGGTATGAGTCTTCTTAAACGACATCCTCGTGTCTGGAAAGACAGATTCTGAGCACTTACGAAACCTGGATTTTGTGTTGAAATGTTTGGAGCTATTGGGTTTTACACTTAAGCAGCCGAACTGTACTTTCATGGCTGCATCTGTCCAATATCTGGGACATGTCATTGATGCTCATGGTCTTCACCCAGCTAAAGCAAAAATAAGAGCCATTAAAGAGGCTCCAGCTCCATTCAATGTCTTTGAGCTGAAATCATTTCTAGGCTTACTTACTTACTATCACAAGTTCCTTCCAGACATAGCTACTACGTTAGCACCTCTACATTCACTTCTCCACAAAATATTAATTGGAAATCGGGCCAATCTCAAGCAGAATCATTAAAGATAGTCCAATCACTTCTACATTCTAATTCTCTCCTGGTCTATTATGATGACACTAAACCTCTCACTCTGTCAAATGATGCCTCTCCATATGGAATAGGAGCAGTGCTGTGCCACTGGATGGCAGATAGTTCAGAACGACCAATTGCTTTTGCCTCCCGCACCCTGTCCAGTGCAGAAAAGAACTATTCTCAGATAGAGAAAGAGGCAGACTGTCAATATGACATCATATGATGTACTATGATTTTTAGTATATATATATGCATGCTTTTACTGCATTTGTTGTTTATTTGTTTGTTCATATATTTCTTCTTCCTTCTACTTTATTATTTCCATTCTCACTGTTTGAACCTAGTGAGTTTGCCATTCTCACATTGCTAAGATATGCGTGTTCTTCGATCACTCATTTGTTTTCTTCTTGATTGCTATACAATTTCATTCCCTGGGCTTCATTTAGGGGGGCGCTTGCCCCCCTTGGTGGGTGAGTGACCCCCCCTTGATTGACTATTAACATGAAAAATTTCATTTAAAATAAACAACATTAGTTAAACTATTATCCTTCTGTTTTTTCTGTTCTAAATGTCAACGATTTCCTCTATCTGGTCATCATTAAGTTGATCAGGGGTCTCTATAGCTATTTTCATTAGATGAGATAGACTTTTGTCACTGAGGCTGCTTCGTAACCAAGTTTTAATGACTTACATCTGTGAGAAGCTCCTTTCCACTGATGCTGTTGTAACTGGTATAGTTAGGCAGATTTAAGCTATTGTACTTAGGTTAGGAAACATTGTCTTCATCATGTCATTAACGAGTTCTTTAGTTGAGTCTTCATACTATCTTCAAGTTTCTTTAACAGTAGCTGACAATATGTTTTCCACTCTGTGACAATAACAGGGGTGATAATAGCCTCTCTAGTTATTGATTCGCCAAGAAGTGTCTCAGCTTGCTTTGGTGCCCCATAGTGCTCTAAAATTGTTTAAATTTGCTGCTCACCATACTTTGATATCTCAGAAGATGTTGCTTTTTTTGCTGTCTTAGGATCAAAAATACTTAATGCTGACACAATTGCACTCGATGAAGCAAAACGACTTGAAATATTATCCTTTAAACATTTCACAAATGGCTTTACTGTTCAATCCTGAAAGTCAGCAATATCTTCTGATGTTATTGTGATTCCCAGTTCATTAAAAGAATTAGGCTTGTCTAGCAGCTCGAGAACCCAATTAGCTGCTAGCTGAATAGCATCATCTAATGTATGTAGAGTAGTATCAACCATACAGGCTATCACAGACAAATCTAGATTCTCAGTCTGAAGAGTCCTGTTCAATTTAGCCACCTGAGGAAGAATATAATTGAGCATGTGAATAGCTGCAACTGTTGACTTCATGCTAAAAGCTTTACTAAGACCCCGTGCTTCTGGTTCATGACTATCCTCATAAATGCTATTGAGTGCACTGACAATAGCTAGGTAGCTTGCTTTGACAGCTTGAACTGATCTTTCGTGTGCCAACCATCTTTTGTCAGAGGGTTTGATGACCTTTAGTTCTGGAAGATTAAGCACTTAGTGCACCAATTTTAGAGACTCGACTCTCTTTGGAGAGAAATGAAAGAACTTCTATAAGGATGTTAATGTCACATACACGTGTTTGATTCCATTAGTAAAATTTGCAGCCTGGACACAAGCTAGTTGTAGCAAATGGCAATGGCAATGCAAAAACAAAGCATGAGCTGCCTACTTTTTGATTCTAGTCTGCACTCCAGTCCGTATCCCAGCAAATGTGCTTGCTCCATCAAAACCCATTCCTATGATTTTACTAACTTGAAGATTCTTTTCATTTAAACATTCTATTAAAGCTAAATAAATGCTCTCGGCGTTTGCTTGTTTGAAATGAAGTACTTCCAAAAAATGTTCTACTGGTACACCATCTTCTTCCCAACGATAAAATACTGCCATCTCCTCAATAGTGGCAATATCTGTACATTCGTCAGCCATGATACAAAAATATTGAGCCCTGTTAAGATGCTTCTGTATCGATTTCTCAACCCATATTCCTAGAGATTCCATAAACTCTACCACAGCTACATGTGAAGTATATACAGCATTTCTTCCGGTCCGATCCAGAAAATTTCTCAAGTGTTCACCACCACATGATACTACCAAATCAACAAGCCCATCAAAATTAGTAGTATTAGGAATATGGTGCTGAGCAAGAAAGTGTGCGCATCGAAAGAATGATTTAACTGCTACTCGATTGATTCTACGATCCTGTTCTGCCACATTTTGTAGCTGTTGAAAAACCGATCCACTGTGCTGTGTTGATAAAGTTCCTTGGTAGGCCATTATATGTGTATTGGTCTGTGAGTGAGCCTTCATCTTTTCAACAGCTTTTTTCCAGTTTCTGAATGGTGTGCTTGTCCAGACTCCCCCTGTTTGCTCAAGTGATCTTCCCGATGTCTTACAATTCTTGCAAAAAGCACCATCAATATCAGCATTGTACTCCAGCCAAGTAAACTCTTTTTCCCATTTATTTTGACACTTCCTGTTGCTACTAGCTTTGGTTGATCGACATTTAGACTGCTTGCTATTGGAAGGTAGGCTAGTAGTCTTGCTGACACATGGCTTCTTAGCTGGTGGAATCTCCAGCTCTTCCTCACTACTACTGCTATCATCTGCACAACTGGAAGGAAATGGCTTGTTGGAATGTGACTTAAAGTAAGATGTAATGTCCATTTTAGGCTGTAACTGACTCACTTCTTTGTTCTAGAATAATTTTAACAACTACAGCTGGTACAAATGTGTGATCAATATGAATATAATTATGACCCCAGCAGTACATTGTTTAAAGGCCTTCATACACGTGGCAACTTGTTGCTAGCAACATTTGTGATTACATTGATGTTGCCAGAAATTTAATGGTTTTCTATTTTTGGCAGCATGTTGCTTGGTTGCTAGCATCAAGTTGCCTTGTGTATGAAGGCCTTGAGTGTTGTGAGCACACATTGATTTGTGCATGCACAATAGAAAAATAGTAGTGACCCCCCTTCTTTGAAATATTTTTAATCCTACCCCCCCCCTTGTATAAAATCCTAGATGAAGGCCTGATTCCCGATTCCCAACATTACAGTTTATAGTGTAGTATATAACAATAGTGACTGATCATACTCAGTTTTAATCATTCCAGTTTGGTTTTAACATGATGTTTCATGTACCACTTAATACCAATTCTTTTCTTAGTTTCCAGTGTAGTTAATACCAGGAGTTACTGATCAAATTGAGTTTTTGGAAGTTTTTAAACAACAACAAAACATCTAATGCTTTTAAAAAATACACTTTCAATACTGTTCATGTTTTCATCAAGTTTTATGAATATTTCATTCCGTTTTCATTTGTGTCTTTGCCTTGTGATGGCAACATTATTTGTTTCAGGTTTGTTTTTATAAATACTATTTCCTGTTCTACTTCTTAATATTTGTTTCTTCCTGTCTTAGTTTCATAGTGATAACAAGAGTGACTGATAAGACTCAATTCCATTTATTTGCGGTTGGTTTCACAAAGTTGTTTCTTGTGCTACAGTATGTGGGTGTATCAAAGGCATCCCCTAGTTTATAATAGTGTAGACCACAGCAGGGGTAGTTAGAAGCCATCATCTATTTGCCAATTCTGGTAGTAAGAAGACGGTGCCTTTCATACACCCACACACTGCAGTACAAACCAGACAAGCTACATCTGTTACGTGTTACTTGATATACACTCCTATGTTAGATGATTGAAAAGAGTGACTAATCAGA